CAGGCGCTTTGCCGCTGAGCTAAATCCCCAGCCCCCTAGCATCATTGCTTTTGGAAGTTTTTTCTAAAAGCTTGTAAGTCAATTTTTATCATCTTAAAAAAATTTTTATCATCTTTTTATGGGAATTAATCTCCAAGACTGTTTTTGCTCTCTACTCTAACAGCAGGACACTCTTTGGTCCTTGCATTCTTTTTGGCATTCTACTAAATATGCCATTGTTTTGTTTGGGCTTGTTTGTTGACTTTTTTTTTTTTTTTTTTTTTTTTTTTTTGTTTGTTTTTTTGGTCTTTTGGAGACAAGGTCTTACTATGCAGTTCAGGCTGGTCTTGAACTCACTTTATAGCCTAAGCTGGCCTCAAACTTGCAACGATCTGCCTGCTTCAGCCTCCTGAGTGCTGGGGCTCTAGTTTAAGTTGGTCTTGAAATCACCATGTAGCCCCAGGTGGCCTTGAGCTCACGGCAGTCCTCCCACCTCAGCTTCCCAGAGTGCTGGATTATAGGCAAGTGCCATCCCATCTTGCCTGCCATTGTTTTAAATATGGGAAGGTCTTTAAAACATGCCAGACCTATTTGAAGTCCCTCAGACCCTTTTCCTCTCCCCCAAAAGTCACTACTACCACGAGTGGAATTTATCATTCTCATCATGTACACTTACATACCTGAGCTATGCATGAACAGAGAAAAGCTCTGTGTTTTACCTATTTAAGCATTGTATAAACGCAATCACATTAGATGTATCCCACTGCAATATGTTCTTTCCATCAACCTTATGTTGTTGAAATTTGATTCATGTTGATATTTGCCCTGCCAGATCATTTTGACTCACTCTGCTCCATTTCACTATATGCATATATCATAATTTACTTAGTTATTTCCAGTTTTCCCTATTACAAACAGGACTGTGCCAAACACTCTTATACATGTCTCCTTGTGCAATTTGAGGCCTTATTTATTTATTATTTACTTCGTTTTTTTGAGACAGGGCCTTGCTATGTAGTTCATGGCCTTGAACTGACTATGTAGCACAGTCTGGTCTCAAACTTGAGGCGATCCTCCTGCCCCAGCCTCCTAAATGCCGGGATTACAGGTGTGCACCACCACACCTGGCCCTTTGAGGCCTTGTTTAGAGCATAGACATAGTGTCAAATTACTACGTGAAAATGTAGCAGCGTCTTCTATCCCCTCATGCAAAACTACTTGGTAGAGTTGTACCAATTTACACTTTTTTTCTGCAAGTGTAGAAGAGTTCTAACGGTCCCAGTCTTTCCAAACTCATATAGTCAGAAATTTTAAGTTTTTGCCAGCCTAATGGGTGTAAAAATGGTGTCCCATATTTGCATTTCCTTAGTTACAAGTGATGTCAGAAAACTTTTTATGCCTATTGGCCACCTGAACTGTTTATGTGGCTCCATTAAATTTCCTTCTTCTTAGTGACTTTCAGGGATTCTTTGTGGTTTTTGGTCTAGATCCTTTCTTGGGCATATGCATTGCAAATATCTTTCCCTGTGATACTCTCCTTTAAGTTGGTCTGTGGTGTCCTTTGTTGTACAGAATTTTTAAATTTTATACAAACAAATATACTGATCTTTTATAGCTTTTTTTTAACATATTGTGTTCAGAAGGTATAGTCATATAT